AAGATTTCATTGTTTTTTTTCTGCTGAGTAGTACTCCATTGTGTAAATGTACCACATTTTCTCTATCCATTCTTCGGTTGAGTGGCATCTAGGCTGCTTCCAGTTTCTGGCTATTACAAATAGTGCTGCTATGAACATCATTGAACAGATGTCCTTGTTGTATGAATGTGCTTCTTTTGGGTATATGCCTAGGAATGGAATTGCTGGATCTTGTGGTAGACTCATTCCCATTTTCTTGAGGAGTCACCATACTGATTTCCAAAGTGGCTGTACAAGTTGGCACTCCCACCAGCAGTGGAGGAGTGTTCCCCTTTCTCCACATGCTCTCCAGCATAAACTGTCATTGGTGTTTTTGATTTTAGCCATTCTGACAGGAGTAAGATGGTCTCTCAGAGTTGTTTTGATTTGTATTTCCCTGATGGCTAAGGATGTTGAACACTTTCTTATGTGTCTTTCAGCCATTTTAGATTCCTCTATTGAAAACTGTCTATTTAGTTCTGTACCTCACTTTTTAATTTATTGTTTGATAAAGCACATAATTCTGCCAATAGTTTAAGAGTGTTTTCAATGTGCCACACTCAGGGCTATAACTGATGCTCGGTAGCTCTCTAATTTTGTTTATGAAGCTAAAACTGACTAGTGGTAAAAAAATAATTTTAATTTATATTCATACCTGACAAGGATATTGAATATCTTTTGCATTCACAGGCTACCTGTATGTCCCAGAAATGGACCTTTGCCCACATTAGGTTTGGGCTGATTAGTTCTTATTTATCCATGAGTTGACTGGATGTCCTGGTTACCAATCCTTTCTTGTATGTCTGTCTTGTTTATTTTCCCATTTATGATTTGTATTTATACTCTCTTTGTGATGACTTTTGTTACATTTCTTAATGTAGTAGAATTTCTATTCTTTGGAGTACACACATGCTTCTACTATTTTATAAGAAATTCTCCAAAGTCAACCTTGTGAATATCTACTAGATTATCTACCAAGGCACTTAACATTTTGAGTTTTACATTTAAGCACTTAATCAATTTGCAATTTATTTTGCTTTATGCCCATGAAGAAAGGTTTAAGTTGATCATTTATTGTAGGGGCAAACCACTTATTCTAGAATAATTCATTGTATGTTATAGCACCCCCTTCTAGATCTGCAGTGACATTTCTCTCGTATATTAAATTAATCTATAAATGCCTATTTTGTTATTTGAGTTACTTCCATTCATCGTCTATGTTTCTTTCACTGTTGTGGTTGTGAAGTAATTTGACAATCACAGGGCAAACTACTTTGTTTATAGTTCTCCACTGTTATCTTACCTATATATATATATACTCTTCCCTCTTCTGCTTAAATTTTAGACTTTTCCAAATTTTACAGAAAAGTTCCCCTAATTTTACAGTTCTGAATACTTAAATGACATTGCTGAGACTGCATATTCTCACTATTGGGCTCATTTATTTGTGACCATAATGTAGTTTTTCACTTATTTTTGTGTTCTGAAATGTATTCCTCTGTAATCTAAATTATTTCCTGCACTAAAATCTTGCTTATCTTCTTATGCATTGTTCCTGGCTCTTTTGAATCTTGTATTTTTTACTATTGCATTAAATATTTGTTTCATTTTTGAGATTATAATATAGGCACATCATTTCCTCACACTTTTCTTGCTCCAGTTTTGCCACATACCCCTCTGTCTCTTTTTTAAAATTGTTGTATATTCCCTAAGGTGTCTCTATTTCTATATGTTTAAGAAATGTTTCCCCTTAAACTTTTTTTATTGTGTAATAAGACTGTTGTATGTGGAATGAAAACTGACCCTTTGTGTCTACATTACACCCAGAAAACCTACAGAATTTAGCTGCTATCCGTGCAATGCTTCTATGGGTGTTTTCTCTGTCTCTCTTAACTTCATCTCTCAGTAGTTACTTTTCTTTTCCCTGTTTCTCTTGGCCACCTTTCTTGTGGTGACAGTTTTGTTTGTGATCTAATAAATAAAGCTTGCCTGAAGATCAGAGTACAGAGCTAGCCACATTGGTTAGCCATAGGGACCGGCGGTGGGGGCACACACCTTTAATCCTAGCACTCAGGAGACAGAGGCAGACAGATCTCTGTGAGGACAAGGCCACCCTGGGCTACACGAAATCAATTCAGTCTAAAAGAGAAACAGAGCCAGATGGTGGTGACTCACACCTTTAATCCCAGTACTAGGGAGCTGGAAACAGGAGTGATATGGCTGGGCGGAGAGAGTGGGGAGACAGGAGCTCAAGGCATTCAGTCTGAGAATTGGTAGGGACAAGATCACCCTTTGGTCTGGGGATTCAGCAGAGGTTAGAGGTCTCTCTTGTGGCTGCTCCTTTACTCCTCTGACCTTCAGCATTTACCCTGATATCTGACTCTGGGATTTTATTATTAAGACTGATTACAATTTATGCTACACTTTCTTCTTCTTCTTCCATTAACTGCAAAATCAGTGCAATGTTTAATCAAAGAGATGGGTGGTATTGATCACTTACTTACCGGTCATGTGTGTCTAGAACAATTGATTTTAGGTAGATGCTCTGGGATGGCAAAATCGAATATCAAATCTCTGTGATTTTTTTATTTAACTAGCTTCTCAGATATCTGGACTCAATATCTTTTAATTTCTCTCACCGGGACTATCCCCAAATCTGATAAATCTTTCCAAATGTGGATTCGTGCCTGCTCTTTAAGCTGTGCAGTATTTTACAGAAAATCCCACATCGCCCCCTAGTGTTCAAAGGGACAAATTCTTCTATAGCTGTTCTTTTTTATCCTAGAGAAATTACCGGAGGCGGCGCTTAGTGTGGTGATCTTCACATATCCCAGAGGACTGATAATAGCACTACCGCACGTCCATGAATGTTTTGTTAGTTGTTTGCTTTCTCAGCCTTTGTCTGGCCAGGGTGTGTGTGCTGTAGGCATTTGCCCCAAGCTCTCTGCTCTCTTCAGTGTACACACTGTCTGCAGAGATCTTGCGCACCCTCGTTTTCCCAACTATGCTAAATATCCCCAATATTCCCCCCTTATATTAGCCATTTTATTAACATTGGTGAGTACACTGGAATGACTTCAGCGTATTCCCAGGATCAGAGCTCCCTGAATCTCAACATACATCCAGACAGTTGTCTCATGTCCCCTCCCCAACACAGCTGGCTGCAATAATCATTCCCAAACCTGTGTATTCTTACTCGTGCTTAAACAATTGCCAAGTTTTTTTTTAGATCCATTTCCTAAACATCTTTTTAAAAGTCCACCATTTTCTCATATTTCCATCAACACTTTCACCATCTGAGTCAGTTTCATTTCTAACCTCTTTCTATTCATTAACTATGACAATCTTTTTCCTGAAAAAAAAAAAAAAAAAAAACAGTTTCAATGACTCTTCCATCTACCTTAAAACTTCTTTTAGGTTTCAGTAATCCCACTTCTTCCACTTACTACATTTGGCTTACCTTATTGTAAAACATTCAATAACAGTATTTACAGTTTTTTCTCATAATTTTTCTTTAAAGGAAAATAAGACATATATGTATAATACCAGGTACTTTAGATTTTCCAGGGAGTATGGGCCAAGGGTTACTTGCAATAAATTACCTATATAAATTTTAGTTTTAAAAACCTTAATTTAAAATGGAACCAGAGAATATATTACTGATGAAGGAGATTAAATATTCATGGCAATTTGGAATTGACAGTAGTCGATCAAAATA